TTCTATAAATCGAAAGGAGACTGCGACCATACCAGAGGCCACAACATCTTGGTCTTCATATCTTTAATAGTGTTGGTTCGACTTTATTTTCGCAACTTGGTCGTGTTGACAGGAGGATTAGTTGGACGCACCGTGTCTGAAATCCTCTGTTATAATAGGTATCATAATTCTCAGCGTCAGACCGTGGACTTGGCAGATTCACAGACGTTTCGCTGGCATCGTCACTGAGTCATGCCATTCTCTTGACCAAGCTGCAACTCGCCAAAGAGACAAGTGAAGCCGATCCCCTGACCAATTTTCTGCCAAAACGGTTGCACTATCACTTCTATTTTTGTCCTGGCCCATATATCTACTCATTCCTGCCTTATCACAACTTTAGACTTGTTTATATTCCACTATTCAAGAGATGTGCTATTTTTGGCGAGTTTAGTGTGGCGTCATTACATCTTCTGTTAACTTTACAGTCCCCTCCCTCTCCATTTTCTAATCCGACTCGGGCCTCCCATCTGGATCTTCCTCATTGGCCCGTAGATCCGTTTCTTATCTTTCTGGTTGACCGATTCCACTCAGTTCCAATCCCAATGCATACTTTAGTCCATGCGCTATTTCTCAAGTATTCAGTAGCACATTTACCAAAGACAATATAAGGATAAAAAATTAGCCATCTAATCGATGCTAAGCATCAAAAGTTAAAAATAAATAAAAATAGTTTCAGTTAAACTGAAATACATTTGCGTTGTATTGGTTCAAATTTCCATAAGAACTGAAAATCAAATCATTACATAAAGAAAGGCTGTTAAAGTAGTTAAGTATGTGTATATAACTAACTCATTATCTTAAATTTACTAAGTGCGTGTTGTTTTGACGCATAAGTTTGCTATGGGACTAGACGTATTTCAGTCATGGCAGATGCTGAAATATGTTCTAAAGCAATAAATATTTGGTGAACGAAAATCAGTTAATGGCTAAAAATGATCACTAACCGAGCCCAAGACTATCAATAAGCTAAAAAAATAAATGATAACGCCTCAATCATCTATTAGAATGGAATATGCAAATATTTTATCACCTACTTAAAAACTCATGATAAAGCTATGGGAGGCAAAATGTCCTATATTATTAATGATTATAAACTTATAAATGAAAAATTATTTTACAAA